AGCTTCCTAGGATGAGACCACCTTCCCTCCTGAAAGGCTCAGAACTCGTTGGCTCTTAGGGTTTCCTTGGACTGGCTAGACTCCTGGGGGAACGTTGGTCCAAGTGACTCTGGATTTGGCTGAAAGTGGGGGAGGTAAAGAGAAGGAGTGACTATTGCTTTGAGCTGATGATTTCCCCTGCTTCCTGTCAAGGAGTTGCAGTTTTGTTTACATGAAGCAAGATGGTTGCCTTTCCTATAGGAGCATTTATCTAGAAACTGGTATGACAGAGTTCTGATGTGAGCAGTTTGCCATATTTCCAGAGACTGAAGTCCGTGTTAAGGAGCCTTAAGGCACCCACACCTCTGGCTGTGATGCCTGCTCCACGATCCAGCAACATGTTTGGGGGCCCGTCTGATACCCACAGCTTTCTTACCTCCTCCCTACTTCTGAGAATCCACGGGAGGATTGTTCAGAGTTGGCTAGTTGCTGTTGTGTGTCCTGGAGTCTGGTACTCCAGGGTGGAGTCTGGGTAGGGGCTAGGGACAGCGGGGCAGGTTGTTGCCTCTGAGGGGAGGAAGGAGCAGTGGGGTCAGGGGTCTGCAGGCTGCTGCTGTGAAGGGTCGCCTAGTAGATAGCTGAGGCTTTGCAGGCTGTGGTCCTGTCACATTATTCTGTACCTTAGGACTGTTTATGAAGATGTAAACACTGTTCCTAGGTCATGAACCTTATCAAAACTGGCTCAGATTTGGCCTGGGGACCTGGTGTGCCCACTTCTGAACAAGGTGAAGTAATTAGTTTATTGCTAAATGTGTTTACTTTCATGTTTTGAGGACATGAACCCAGAATAACCTTGGGAATTCTCAGTTGGTTGTGGTCCAGAGTAAAGAGATCTAAGCTCTGGCTTGGGAAATCAAAGTCACCCTGGTGTCTGTCACCTTGGGCCCATGGACATCAAGGTGATCGTGGCTAATGTGACAGCAGCTATCCACTGGCACAGGGATGGGCAAGTGGGATGGAGTTGTGGCCCTGGGATTAGGCTGGCATTTGACAGGTTTAAGGAATACAGTGACTCAGCAGATTGACTTGATTATAGTCTCAGAAATAGATCTAACTTCCTGAATGTCTGTTGGGACACGGTTAGAAATTTGGCATGTACCAACAGCATGACCAGTTTATAGAAATGGGCAAGCAGGTTTGTACCTTGGATTCTGAGAACACCAATTTCAGCTATAGGAACCCATATTTGTCTTGTGGTTTCTCCCTGGTCACAAGAAGTTCTACGCAGCTGGCCTGGCATGGAGGAAGTGTTAACGTAGCTCAAGGTGTGTAAGAGATGAGAGGGCCTGGGGGTCCCAGAGTGGGCTGGGAATGGACGCACTTGTCCACGTGCCGCCTCTGCTGGTTGTAGCTTCACCCTCTCCGCCTCTGCTCCCTCACCTGTCCAGCGGGGTGATTGACTCCACCAGAGCGCTGCGCTGGGGGTTCAGTGAGGACAGCCCATGGACGGAGCTCATTGTATGCGCTCAACGTCCGGTGGCGTTTGCATAAGCGTTAGCGATGATCACAAGGAAGTGGAAGTGGAGGACACTGCCGCTGAAGCAGCCTTGTCTTGGTTTCCCTGCCAGGTGTGTGGGACGTGGTGGGAGCAGTTAGGGGTCAAGGAATGGGGTCCGGGTCTCCCCTGCTGAGTTCCCTAACTGGTAAAATGGAGAGAAATGGGGAAATGATAAAATGGAGAGAATACATATCGACAGGTTGTGAAATAACATGAGAAAGGGCTTTGAGCTCTCTACAGCAGGACTCACAGTGAAGTCAGTCACCTGTTCACTTGGTCCATTTCTTGAACTTTTAAATGTACTGGAACCGAGCCAGAAGGAGATTGGTGTGAGGACAGAAATGTTTGCCAGAGAAAAGTGAGAGGATGGCTCCCACGTTTGGAACAAGGGACTGTATTGAGTGAAAGAAGCCAAGAAGGCTACATCCTGTAAGATTCCAATTAGATGACATTCTGGGAAAAAATCTAATTGGAGACAGTGAAAAGATAGTTATTGCCAGGGGTTGAGGGCAGGGAGGGATGAAAAATCAGAGCCCAGAGGATTTTTAAAGCAGTGAAGATACTCTGTACGATAACTGTAGTGATGGGTACAAATCACTGTACACTGTACATTTGTCAAAAACCTTAACATGTACAACCCCAAGAGTGAACCCTAATGTAAACAGCCTTTATAATAAAAGAGAGGGCGGAGCCTGGTGGTTAAGAATCCACCTGCCGATACAGGGGACACGGGTTTGATCTCCGGAACGGGAAGGTTGCACCTGCCACAGAGCAACTAAGCCTGCGCGCCACAGAGCAACTAAGCCTGCGCGCCACAGAGCAACTAAGCCTGCGCGCCACAGAGCAACTAAGCCTGCGCGCCACAGCTCCTGAGCCTGGGCGCAGAGCCCTTGAGCCAGGCGTTAGTGAAGCCCGTGCGCCTGGAGCCACCGCCAGGAGGGGCGCTGACGCCGCAGCTGGAGAGCAGCTCCCGCTCGCCGCAGCCAGAGGGAGCCCGAGTGTATCAACCAAGACCATCTTGGCCAAAACCAAAAACGGAATAATAAATCTTAAAAAAAAAAAAAGTGGCCAGAAAGGCTGGAGGAGTTAATCTACAAAGAAAATGTGACAGTATCTTGTAAAACTAAAACTGTACTTCTGGAAATTCCCTGGTGGCCCAGGGGTTAGAACGCAGCACTTCCATCACAGGGGCCACAGGTTCGATCCCCTGTTGGGGAACTCAGATCCCACAAGCCACACAGTGCGGCCAAAAAACCCCTGTATTTCCCAAGTCAGAAGTGAAAGACAGATACTGTTTATTCTCACATAAATGTGGCATCCAGAAAATATGAACTTGCAGAAACAAAAGTATGGTGGTTATCAGGGGCCGGGGGTAGGAGAAATGGGGAAATGTTGGGCAAAGGCTAAATACTTGGAGTTATGAAATGAGAAAGTTCTGGGATAGGGATTACAGTTGAAAGTTGCTGAGAGGGTAGATCTTACATGTTCTTACCACATACACAGAAAAGGTGACTCTCTGACAAACACTCTGGATTGTATCAAATCCTGTTTTGGCTCTGCAGAGTTGCTCAGTGTTAATGTGTCGGTATTATCAGTATATCAGGGGAAATAAACAAAAGCAAGAGTTTTTTTTTTTTCCTTAAACCTCAATTTCCATTTCCCCTGTAATTCCATCTCTAGGAGTTTATCCTGAAAATATATTTGCACGTGCATTTTGGATGCTAAGTCACGTAGACAGGTTCATTGCATTGTCTGTAACAGCAGAAGGGTGGAAACATTGGTGTCCACCCTCAGGAGAGAGCCGTTTGTCGATTCCCGGAGCATTCTTAGAGCTGAGAACTGCGCCCGTCTGCAGGAAGGGAGCTCCGTTGGTGCAGAGGCAGCACTGTCCCAGGACGTGTCAAGCTAGGAGACAGCAATCAGCGTTCCAGTGCACCCTCTTTGCTGCCTGGGCCGCGGGGGCAGGCACGATCCTCAGGTGTCCCGTGGCCAGGATGTGCAGGAACATCTCAGGAACCATCCACAGCATCCTTATGTTGGGGCTGCTGCTGTGGCCCAGAGCTTCAGGCAGCCGGGGACAGCGAGGAGGCCCGTCTTCTCCTCGGAGTGTGCCCTCTTTATCTCTTGAGAGGTGTCTCGTGTCCATGTCTTTTCTTTTCCTTAATTCATTTTTTAAATTTGAGGTCTCTAATGATTTTTTTTTAATTGAAGTATAATTGATTTATGGTGTTGGGTTAGTTTGTTCTGTGCAGCAAAGTGACTCAGTTTAAACACACACGTACATTCTTTTTCATATTCTTTCCCATTATAGTTCATCAGGACACTACATATAGTTCCCTGTGCTACACGGTAGCATCTTGTTGTCTGTCCAGTCTACATGTAGTAATTTGCATCTGCTAAGCCCAGACACCCATGTATTTCCTATTGGAGAAGTGTGAGTGGCCCCAGCTAGTACTTACACCAGCAGGGCTGAAAGCCGGATGAAATGCCTGCGGTTTTCGTACACGCCCGCATGTGCCGCCTGTTTGCCCCGCCTGGTCCCCTCGACCTTGGGGCTGAGAGGGGCTGGCCCTGGCTCCCGGCCGAGCCTGACCGCCCTTGCCCCCACCCCCGCGTGCAGTGGTGTCCCCCACCTCGGTCTGTGTCGCCTGCCTGACCCTGTTTTTGTCTCCTCCTCCAGCTTCGGCAGCATGTAAGCAGCTTCTTGCCAAGATCCCAGGTCACCACTGAGAAGAGGGCCTGAGGGAAGAGCATCCAGAGGAGCCCAATGCCAGGCGCGCCTGGGATTACACTCCATGCGGGCAGCATGAGCCATTGTCTGCCAGTGCCTCTGTGCCCCTGGCAAGGCCTGTAGCTCTCCAGGGAGGAGGGTCCCAGGAGTGGCGCGCCCGGAGCCCCCGGAGGAAGGATGGGGCCAGCTGTGAACGCAATTTTCAGCTTATGAAGGAGTTTTAAGGAAAGCAGTTATTTAATTTCCACTTATTCACGTTCACAAGACTTCTGTGGGAAGTGCCAGCAAGTCACACACCCCCCACCCCCCGCTGGAGTTATCAGGCTTTTTCTGGCAGCACGTTGAACTCTTCTTGGTACTTCTGGCAATGACAGACCTTCAGGACAGGTTTATCTGCTAAATGCTCTTGGGCAGGAGATAAAGGGACACTTCTGGAAGCAGTGCCAGCGGAGCAGAGCCCAGAGCGTGTCCGGGCCGCTCACTGGCCAGGCCACCCCGCCTGGCCTGAAGACTGAGCCTGCCCCGTCTGCCTGCAGCCCGTCTCCTCCAGGGAGGCCCTCAGGGCCCCCTTCTGCTCTCATCCTCTGCCCAGTCTCCATTCCGGCCGTCGAGGGATGCGAACTTGGGAATGGAGTTGGCGCCCCTCCCCAGGCCGGTGCTGACGGAGAGGACCATCTGAGACCGGCTTTGTTCGCGGGGAGGAGGGCGCTGGCCTGGTCTGCATCCCCCACCATGTTCCTGCTGCTGCCTTTCGACAGCCTGATTGTCAACCTCCTGGGCATCTCCCTGACGGTCCTCTTCACCCTCCTCCTGGTTTTCATCATCGTCCCTGCCGTTTTCGGAGTCTCCTTTGGTATCCGAAAGCTCTACATGAAAACTCTGTTAAAGATCTTTGCGGTGAGTGTGCTGTCTACAAACGGTTGCTTCCCCAAGGAGAGAAGTGCCGTTAGCCAAAAAAAAAAAAAAAAGAGTTGTTTCTGTCTGGTTGGTTGTGAGCTCTCGGCAGGACGTGGAGAGTGTTGGTAGAGTGGGAAAGAAGTGGTGTTTTGAGCAGAAAGGATAACTAGCATGAGCTTGTGAAGCCTGCAGCAGTCTTTTCCTTTGAGCTCAGGTACTTGGTGTTTGGTTCATCTGAGCAGAGGAACCACACCTGGCCTGTTTATTTCAAAAGGAGGGACTTAGCATTAAAGAAACAGTCACTGCTGGACACAGCCTGTGATTATGTAACATACTGAAAGTCAGAGCTGCTGCTAGCATGTTCCCTCACTGATGAGTATGGGAGGCGCTCTCTTTTCTGTTTCAAACATTTATCTTAAATAGGTTCTTGCACTTCAGTCAAAAAGGAGTCACAGAGAAGTGCATTTGAAGAATTGTGCTAGTTTCTTTAAGACAGAGGAGAAGAATATTTCCTAACATATGTCAGAACCTAAGTAGGTAGACTGCTGAACAGAACTAGTCATGGGGTTAAGGAAATGGGCAAGAAGTGGTATTTCCTGGAAGTTGATCTGTGCCATGAGCCTTTCATATCTCTTCAGAGATTTGGTAATTGATGAGCAATATCTGTTTTCAGTAGTCACCAGATCTTCAGGTATTCTTTTCCACGGCTGAGACCATGTGTAATTGGGGAAATGCACTCATAATAGTGAAAACAATGCAGGTGTATTTGTTCAGATAGTATCTTATAGTTCAGAATAATTTCAGTTGCTGTCCTTTGGTTCTTTGTAGTTCTGCAGTGGACCAGAGTGTCTATCAACGATAGATTTTATCAGTGAAGAGATAGTGATTCAGAAAGATGAAGTGAGCTAGATGAAATACTCCATTACAGCAATAATATTTCTATGTATATCATTGAATCTTGTGTTTTGATATTTAATATTCATGTAAGAATATGACTTTTTCACGTTTAAAAAATCGAGGTGAAATTGACACTACAGAAAATGAACCATTTTAAAGGGAAGAGTTCCTCGGCATTTCCCGTAGCCGCAGGGTTGTGTGACTGCCACCTCTGTGAAGTTGAACAGCCTCTTCATCACTCTTAAGAGGAAGCCCCGTGCTCATTAAGCCGCTGCCTTTCTGTCTCCTGCCCCCACCCCCTGGCGTCTGGCAGCCGTGAATCTGTGCTCTGTCTCTGGATTTACCTATTCTGGGTATTTCATATTAACGAAATGATATAAAATGTGCTGTTTTGTGAGTGCTTTTGTTTAACATAACTTTGTAACATGTGTCAATACTTTGGTTTTCATGGCTGAGTAATATTCCACCCTGTGTGGAATCTACTATGATTTACTTATACATTCATCCATTGATGGGCTGTTCTGCACCTTTTGGCTCTTGTCCATAGTGAGCTATGGTGTGCTTGTACTTACTTGAGCACTCGTGTTTGGTAGGAAGATTTCTGAGTGCTCCGTATGGTCTCTGGGGTGTCTTTGCTACTCAGAGAATGCTCTGAGATCAGCAGCTGAGTGCCATCTAAGACATTGGAAATGCTGCCACAGGCCCCCTTCAGACCTGCTAATTAGAATCTCTGCTCCAAGAAGCCCAGGTGCACGGTGAAGCTTGAGAAGTGGCAGTCTAGTCAGTCATTAGTGTTTGTTTCAATTAATCATGAGATGTAATTTTCTTGAACTTTAGTCCAAGAAAATCTTCAGTAGAACCCAGGGTTCCTATGAACCAAGTAACTACCCACGCCCACTTGCTGCTGGAAACCGTGCATCAGTATAGAGTGAGTAGGACAGCTGATAAACTTTACGGTGATGGCTAGCTTTTATTCACGTTTATTTAAACAAGCAATTAATTCATAGATCTATGGGAATCCTTAATTTTAAAACATAAAAATAAGAGTAATGAAATCAGAGTCCTTTTGTAGTAGCTAAATTCTTAAAATTTGGGTCACTTTGGGTGAAAAAGACCTAGAATGTATGTACATTCCCTATTCCATTTTGAAAATGTCTCCTCGAATCAGTATTTTAAATTTCCATGGGACAGGTATTCCTGAGCCATCAGAGACTGCTGACCATATCTTGAAAATCACTGGAAATGGAAGTCGTGTGTGTGTGCGCGCATGTGTGTGTGCGCCCTCATTGGTGACCTCCAGATTTCAGATTTCAGGATCTCAGTTTGTACCTCGTATTTCCTGGAGGTGTGTGTCCGGAACTCGGACGGTTCTGGGTATCCCACGGCTCCTGTGATGTTGAGCTTCCTGGATGATGGTGACAACGTGGCTGTGAGCCCAAGGAAGGGGTGGGTGAGGAAGGGCTGGTGCGTACCAGCAGGGGCAGCAGGTGGTTCTGCAAGAGCGGTCCTTTCTCACTATCTGAGCAGGGTTGTTGTTCTGATTTGATCTTGGTGGACATTAAGAACTGAATGCCATTTTTATCAGCAGTAGTATGAGATGCAAGTTGGATTTGGCCAAACTGACTTTGGATCTTGGAAATACATCTGAGTATCCATGTATACATCTAAAATACACCTAAACTTGTGGGCACTTTTAATAAAGACAGCACCTTTAGTTTGCCTTTTTTATCATCTTCATCCCGTCATAAACTGGGTTACTCTTATGTGATTTTGCAGTTGGAAGGAGGCTTAGAGATCATCTTCGTTTCGTGGGTCTCTTCCTAACTACACATCTGAATCACCTGGGAGCACTTAAAAAGTAACTTGTTTGGGAGCACTCGACTACCCCCTGGAAAATTTGGTTTAACTGGTTTTGGTGGGCATTTTTAAAAAGCTCCCCCAGTGATTCTAACACCTACCATCATAAGGTGGAGTCTGACTGACTTCCTCGGGAGTGGGGCCCTGCCTTGGTGAATGTTTCTAACCTACAGGACATGGTGCCCTTGACTCTGTGTGAGCTGTGAGGTTAGGGTGGGAGTGACAGGACAGCTTCCATCGGACTCTGGAGACTTGCCCCCGGAGCCTGGCCGCCACGTCGTGAGGAAGCCCAGGCCCCGTGTGGAGTTGCAGCTTCTAGTCCCAGGAGGCTGTGACGACAGGCTGATGGCATCAGCCGCCACCCTTGGGAGCCCGCCGGCCTTTGGGGAGTTCCAGCCCCTGCCTTCAGCCTCCACCAGCCATGCCAGACCCTGTGTGGTTTGCAGATTCGAAAGCAGAGTAAATGGTGGTGGTATTTTAAGCCAGTGAGTTACGGGGTGGTCTGTTCCACAGCAGTAGATAACCAGACAAATAACAATAGTTTTGTGTTACCTTTTGGTTGTGGTACTATTTTATGACGGTCTTAACAGACTGTGCATATTATTTTATGTCTGCATTTTATTTTACAATCTTATCAGCCAGTTGTTTCGCACATTTTACTAGATAATCCTCATAAAGATGAATCGAGCTGGTTGTCTGCACAGTACATACACGCCTGCCTTTGGAGGACCTGAGTCAGTGCAGCTGGTCTCCCGTCATAGCTCACCTCTCCGCGTACCTTGGTGCTCCTGCCCAGGGGTGGAGGGATGGTGGTTGGTGTCTTTCCTCCTGGAGGACAGCTTGCACTCCCTGTTAACGCTGAGTTGAATGCTTTAGTTTTCTTAATGTTTGTGCTTCAGGTTTACACAGCACAATGGTGGTGATTTTTGGGGGTACAGTTCCTATAAGTGGACTTTGAACTGAGTTGAGAATGATTTAGGAAAGGAAGAGTGAAAGAAAGCCTATGTATAAAGGAGAAAGATGGGGGAGGGGGAATGACTTGAGTTTTTTGTCCGATGTGAAAGGGATTGATCAGATCAGGTCAGAGGAGAGGAGGTGGCTGTAATGTGCTTTGACATCAGGCTCCACAACAGAACTGCTTGGAAACGGGTGATGGAGGTGAGGAGGTCGAAGAGACTGGACAGGCGGCGGCATTGTGGCAGGTGGGCACGGCCCTTCTGAGGGTTTTCTTACCAACTGTGAAACTTGACCTAAGTCCTCAGAGTCTCCAGTCTGCTTCCTCCAGGGGGTGGGGGCGGTCATGCCTCCTTCACGAGGTGCAGGTCCAAGAGGGGATGTGCGTCAGCGGCACCCCTTCCCGCCCCCGTGGGAAGGGGTATTCCAGTGTGACTGGGAGGAAGTAGCTCAAAGGACGAACGGAAGGAGATGAGAGTGGGCTTACGGCAGGGAGGGTGCTCAGAAGTGGTTTTGGAGACCTTGATGAAGAGAAACCTTGGTCATTGGTGAATTAAACCCAGTCCTTATTGACTGCCTACTAAGTTACACGGGGCACTTGATCAGACTCCGCTGCACCGCACGTCTGGGCGGGTTCTGGCTCCTCCCACTGAGGCAGCTGTAGTTGAGTAGGAAAGACCTACTCTGTAGGTCTACTCTGTAGACCTGACTCAGAATGTGACACCAGTTAAAATACGCGGGTGGGGTGAGCTCTGACTGCAGGAGTTGGGGAGGTACCATTTCATCTGAGATTTGGCCTTTGATGGGTTTGCAAAGGAAGCAGCTTGCGGAATGCTGTGGGTGGGGGCAAGAAGGGGCAGCCTGGTGTAGACACAGTGCCTGCTTCAGGAGAGGAGAGCCCTCGGGTCCCCAGAGGGGCTGAGTTAGCTTATACAACCGCTGTTGTTTAGGCTTTGAGAAGCCACTGAAAAGCCCCTGAAAGCTCAGGCCAGGGGATGAGACCAGAGTGTGCGTCCGTATGGCTTGGAGGGAGGAAGGAGCAGGGTGGAACCTGTTGCACCTGTGTAGGTAAGAGATGACGGCGCTGGCCTGACTCAGACAGCTGGGGAGAAAGCGTCCGGGGCGGGCTGAGAGGACTGCGTGGACAGATGGGGAGCCCGGCAGTTTGGGGAGCCCAGGAGGAGGGCAGGTGAGGGGAGGGGGAGCACGGTGGGGTCCAGGCGTGTGCCTTGGCCTCTCCCTCTCACACCGGATGCGAGGGTGGAGGGGCGCTGGCACGTGGTCACGACCAGTAGGTGATCAGAAACGTGAGGTGTGAAGTCAGGACTGTGAATTTAATGGCAGCTACCGAGTGATTCCCTCATAGCTCAGTTGGTAAAGAATCCGCATACAATGCAGGAGACCCCAGTTCAATTCCTGGGTCAGGAAGATCCCCTGAAGAAGGGAAAGGCTACCCACTCCAGTATTCTGGCCTGAAGAATCCCATGGACTGTATATAGTCTGCAGGGTTGCAAAGAATTGGTCACTTTTTTACTCACTGAGAGATTCCAGGCAAAGCAGGGAAGGAAGAGAGCATTGTTCAGAGATGCCTCTCTGCCGGGGAAGTGGGAGAGGGGGGCTGCTGGGAGCCTGGCTTCTCTGGGGGCTGATTCTTGGGCATCCACAGTCCGGTGGGGGAAGGTGTGGTGCAGGCCGGCTGGAGAAGAGGGGAGGTCTCGCTGGGACGAGGCTGCCGAGGTTCTCCGGCCTTCCCTGGGAGCTGGGCTTCTGAGCTGCCATGCAGCAGAGCCACTGACTGGCAAAGATGCACCCGTTACCCCGCCCACCGTCTAAGGGTCGGGCCTGCGTGTCACCTGCCGAGAGTTGTCTCGGGTTTAGTGTTCCCTACAGGGCAGCGCGTCTGTGCCCCTAACAGTCTCTGTGCAAGAGAAGCTGAGAACGGAATAGTTAAGTAATCTGACCCTGAACAACGACGTGAGTGGCATCTTGGGTCAAGGAAGGAAGAGGAGAATCTGGGGAAACGAGCCCTGGGCCTGGGGCTCTCACTTTTTATTCTGGATATCTGCACACAGTACTTCTTGAAAGGGGGCTCAGAAGCAGGCGTGTCGCTCTCGGACGTTGCTGATGCCAGCACCCCTCCTGAGTCCCCGTGCCGGGCAAAGCGGCTGGTCCCAGGCAGCCCCGGCCCCGCCCTCTACCCTGCTCTGTCGCCTGGATCCTGAACACAGGCGTGTTTTGTGATGTCCCCGAAGTTTGGGAAAGCAAAGCTGGAAGTACAAAGCAGGAGGACGGGGGATGTTTACGATGGAGCCAGAAGCCACATCGAACCAGCATCTTTCCAGTTAAAGCAGAAACCACAGCCTTCTGGACCTTTCCATCCTGAGTGAGTGCTCACAGATCTATGTCTTGGTGCTCCAGTGGCCTGAGGACATGTGCTCCCTGCCTGTTATGGTCGAATCCGTGTCAGAATGGAGAAGTTCTGAGCGATGGAGCTGTGTCTTTGTACCAGGCTTGCTGCACACTCGCTTGCCCCTTAATCACCTCTTCCCTAGATGGCATTCCCAGATGGGGGTTCGTCTTCCTCCACTGCAGCAGTTATGTTTACATTTTCTTCTAGAAAGAAAGCCCTCCATGCCAGAAGCTGTCAGGGGCTAAGAACCTGACGGGCTGTGTGAGTTTTCCGCCTCAGACCTTAGCGTGGGTGATTCTAAGCGGCCTGTCTTCTGTGGACCGTGATGTCTGAGAGGTTTCCGCACGCGGCCAGATCACTGATGAGGCGCACGTCCTGCTGCTCGCTCCGCCGCCCTGCTCACACTTCAGACTCCGCCAGCAGAGTCTCACAGAGGCTTTGGGCCTGTGGATTCCGCTGCATCATGGAAGGACAGGCTTCTTCTCTCCCTTGCATAACTGTGGAGACAGAAGTTTGAAAAGAAACCTTTAAAATGCCGGTTCTGTGTCCTTGCTCGCCACGGTCCTGGCTTTCTGCGCCGCGTGCCCATCCCGTCCCGTCCCGTCTGGTCCCGTCCCAGCCCGGGCAGGCGGGGGCTGCTGTGCCCGCCCCTCCCTCCTGCTGGCAGGGGCTGCCCAGCCCCAGGCTCTTGTGTGGCACTTCAGAGGGTTCTGATGAAGGGCGAGAGGCTCTGCGAAGAGACTCTTCCCTGCAGTCTGTGCTGTTCCAGTCATGAGGGCCCTGGGGGCTCTGCAGGTCCCGAGTCTGTCACACATGGCCTCCTGTGTCCTCGTGAAGGGGAGGTTGGCCTCCATCACCCGCTTTTGTGGATAAAGGAGGCCAGCATGATGGGATGAATTGCTGGAGGCACACAGCAGAACTCTGGAACTTGGGGTTTGAACCTCGTTTGTTGTTTTTAACACTTCTCTTTTTTTTAATTAACACTGAGCTGCTTTCAAGCTTTTAGTGTCAAGTCGTGGCGTCTCCTGTTAGAGATCACTCAGAGGGTGAGTGGACAGTCCACATATACTAATATTTAAATCTTTTATCAACTCAAAAGCTAAAATCGTTGTTCTCTTGGAATAGTGTGGGAGGCAGGCAGTGCCTTCCCGGACACTTGGCTTGTCAGTTGGCGAAGAGATGTTGTTTGGCAGAAACAAGGACCAGTGGGGTCTGTGGCCGGGCAGCCGGCCGGCTCCTTCTTGGCCCAGGAGGCGGGAGAGGGGCGGGGGATGGCGAGCCCCAAGCTCTCCTGGCTCCTCAGTTCACAGCTCTTGACCGCCGGGGACGAGGCTCAGTCCAGATCGTCAGGGGTGGTCTGCCCAGAGGAGAGGGCTCCGAGCTTCCCCAGAGCCTGCGCTCCCAGCTGCCGTCTGATGGGGGTGACTGGGCTTGAGGCTGTCCCAGACCAGACCTGGAGGAGCCCCCCGAGAGGGGAAGGGGCTCAGCCTGTGCGTTGCTGTTCCCCCTGCAGTGGGCTACCTTGAGGATGGAGCGAGGCGCCAAGGAGAAGAACCACCAGCTCTACAAGCCCTACACCAACGGTAAGACGGGGCCTCGGGTGCCCCCTGAGCCCGCCCCACCCCTGCCCCCTGCAGCAGGCAGGGGTCTGCCCTGAGTGTTTCCGACGCCCGTCTCCCAGCAGACCACCTGACGGCACTGTTCTCTTGCAGGAATCATTGCAAAAGACCCCACATCACTGGAGGAAGAGATCAAAGAAATCCGCCGGAGCGGGAGCAGTAAGGCCCTGGACAACACTCCCGAGTTTGAGCTCTCGGACATTTTCTACTTCTGCCGGAAAGGAATGGAGACCATCATGGACGATGAGGTGACCAAGAGGTTCTCGGCAGAGGAGCTGGAGTCCTGGAACCTGCTGAGCAGGACCAATTACAACTTCCAGTACATCAGCCTGCGGCTCACCGTGCTGTGGGGCTTGGGCGTGCTCATCCGCTACTGCTTCCTGCTGCCGCTCAGGTGAGGCCGAGCCCCTTCCCTGTGCTCCCACTTCAGAGGAGGATGGTAGGGTCCTCCCACCGGCCAGGCCCTTTGGCCCTCAGAAGAGTGCCCGGGGTTATCCTTTAAAAGGGCCCTGGGTTGTCTGCATAGCAGACAGAAATAAAAAAACAGTTGAGTTTCTCAAAAGACCGATCGCTTGTCTGGATGGACTAAGTCCAGGGACAGGAGCACGGTGTTCTTCATGGCCCGCCTCCCCAGGCCTGGCTGGTTCTTTCCTGCAGCTTCCTCTCCAGGACAGAGGCGGTATTGATCTCCCGGGTCTCTGCGCCACGTGCTGTTCTGAGTAGGCCTTGCCGGCTGCTGGCACCTTCAGACCCTACTTCCTGCTGCTTCACGGAGAAGCTGTGCTTCTGCCAGGGCTTAAAGCCAAGGGGAAGGGTGAGGCCGCAGGACAGCAGGTGTCAGAGGGCAGCACGGCCGGCCATCGGCTGTGCTGTGCTTCTGGCCGCTGCCCGCTGCCTGAGGAGAGGGTGTCTGTCGGCTGAGAGCCAAGTCCATGGTGCCCTGTCACGGGGCAGCAAGCGACCCCGGTTCTGATCTCGCTGGGAGTCCTGTGGGGCCAGCGAGCACATCTGCCTTTTTCACACACTCAGGCCTACACTCGGGGCAGGGGTTTGTCTGCTGTGTTGTAACCTGTCTTTTCGTTACAGGGTAGCTCTCGCCTTCACGGGGATCAGCCTCCTGGTGGTGGGCACAACGATGGTGGGGTACCTGCCAAACGGGAGGTGAGCGGAGCCTGGGCCTCGGACTCTGCGGGCACCGCAGGGAGCAGGGGGTTCGGCCCAAACCACAGGCTCTTAGATGGAGTCGGTAACTCCATGGTAACTGACGAGGCAGCAAAGCTTTTTCCCCCTCACTGATCTTATCTGTGACTGTTCTTTTTGCCCTCCAGCCCTGTATTCTTCCATTTTTAAAGACAAAACAGAGATGGTAGTGTCCAGGGCTAGCAGGCTTTACAAAGCAAGTAGTTGGGTTTTGAGCATTCTACTGTGTTGATGAACTGTTGAAAGGGTAAGAAGTGTAAGTAGGTAGGTCCTTTTTGTTTGCCTTTTCCTTTTTTTTCTTTTTTTAAAGAAATGGGCTCCTTCTGGGAAGTTCTGGGGCTGGCAAACCTCTCTCTTCTGCCCCAGTTGGTGGGGAGGTTTGACTATATGGCTCCGCCTGCCTCTGTCCGTCACTGGCAGGGAATGTAGGGGACTCACCTTTGCTGGAAATTCTCGGGCTAATTCTGAGTCCATCACCCGCGGTGAATTGAGCCGTCCTCATCATTTCTTCCTTTGTCTGTAGACAGAAAGATGCTAATGCTTACCGTAGACACTAATAAGTATAAAAATACATTTATATACAGTTGTGAAGGGCGTAGGCAGTGATGGTTAGATGGTTAGACCTGGCACCCTTTGCTGACTCCCTGTATGCGTGTATGGTAAAAGCAGAGCTCTCTGTCCTGTTGTCGCAGGTTCAAGGAGTTCCTGAGCAAGCACGTTCACCTCATGTGCTACCGGATCTGCGTGCGTGCGCTGACGGCCATCATCACCTACCATGACAGGTGAGGGTCCGCGGGGGCTTGGGGTGCCTTGAGGGCTGGGCTGCCAGGACTTGGGGGGCTATAGCCACTGCCAGACGCACATTGCAGATGCATCGTCTCATGCCGGTTTCCATTGCTCCTGGTACCTTGTGAGCAGGAAGAACCGGCCTAGAAACGGCGGCATCTGCGTGGCCAACCACACGTCTCCCATTGACGTCATCATCCTGGCCAGCGATGGCTATTACGCCATGGTAAGGCCTCCCTCAGATTCCTCTAGCTGGTCAGGGCTGGGAGCTTTTCTCCAGGGGGTGAGCATGCTTTCAGACTCGGGCCCCAGCCTAGGCTATCGCCTTGGTTTCCGTGGCCCCAGGGGCTCCTTGGGACCTGGGTGCTGTGAGTGGGTGGCTGAGCATGTGGGGAAAGTGTCGGTGGGCAGTGGAGAGGGGGCTGAAGGTGGGGAGGGGGTTTTCTTTTTTTTCCCCAGACTTTAAACTTTTTATTTTGTGTTGGGGTGTAGTTGATGAACAGTGTTGCGGTTCTTTCAGGTGAACGGTGAAGGGACTCAGCCATAGGTATACATGTATCCATCCTCCCCTAAGCCCCCAGAGAGGGCGATTTGAAGGGGCGGGGTGCAGAGACCTTGGAGAATCTGCCCAGGGAGGGAGGGCATTTGGACACGGGGGGTTCTGCTTCACAGTTCTTTTTAGGGTTTTTAGTAGCACATCTCTGGTATCACAGATTAGAAGGAGAATTTAAATTCAGAGAATCTAACTAAACAGTGGTTTCTGAACAGTGAGGAACCTCTGCTTACCAGCAAAGCGTAGGGGGCTGGAGGTTGGGAACCGGGGACTTTGTATGAGGATGGGCCTGCTCCCCTTGCCCTTCCTCTGCGAGCAGGTGGGACAGGTGCACGGCGGCCTCATGGGGGTCATCCAGAGAGCCATGGTCAAGGCCTGCCCCCACGTCTGGTTCGAGCGCTCCGAGGTGAAGGACCGCCACCTGGTGGCCAGAAGGTAACCGAGCGACACCCAGAGTCTGATTTTAGGGGAAGTCGTGCCTCCAGCCTTCTCCCCTGAGCCCAGCCACTTCCTTAGCTGAAGTGTGGAATATAGAGAGTATGAAAACTCTAGTCTTAACAAGTTAGTAGTGTTTTTAACCTTTTTAAATTTAATTCCTTGAACTCATTGTCATGAACAACCTATGAACTTTTAACGTGATTTCAAATCTCAAAATGAGTTCACTGTCACACGTGAAAGCACACTTAGAGCAATAGAATAAAGCGCAGCTCAGTTTTCAAGGAAAATAAAAGGCAGACGTGGCACAGGTGATGGTGAGAGCGTTGCCATAACTCAAGAGGAGTCGAGGCTCCCGAGACCCGCTCCCCAGAGCCAGTGGGCTGCCCTGAGTTCCCTGCACTGCGTCTCGGGGCTGCAGGCCCACCCAGCACGGCCCTAGGAAGTCGCCGCAAGCATTTCTCGAGGCTGCTCTGTGGTGGGTGAGCCCGTTAGGCAGTCCCAGATCAGAGCCGCAGCCTCTACACTCAGATTCACGCGCTTCACTCAACAGCTGTTCGTTTAAATAGTAATCAACCCAGGTTCCCTGTCCTGAGGCCTATTGTCTGTTAGATCGTGGGTTTATAAAAGAGTTGTATTCATTAGCCTGCCTTCTTACCACACCCACCCAGCGTCACATCTAGACAGAGTATTGACAGATGCATGGATGGTGATGGACGTGAGGCTGTCTGACCCTCCCTTCCATTTCTCTCTTCTGCAGGCTGACCGAGCATGTGCAGGATAAAAGCAAGTTGCCCATCCTCATCTTTCCAGAGGGTAAGCTGCTGTGTGGGGAGGCCGTGCAGGCAGGGGAATCCAGGGTTGCGCTGGAGGAACCCGTCTTCCCTGCCTCAGATGGGGGCCCTTTAGGCTAGTTCTAGAGCTGGAAGCCCAGGGGACTTAGTGTGGACTGTGAGTGCTGTCGCGTGGCCTCCCCAGTGCGGGAGCACCTCCTGCGTCTTTGCCCACAGGCTGCCTGAGCTTGTGGCATGGTCCTTCCCGACTCGGCGTGGGCTCTTGCCTCCCCTCTGGGCTCCATGGGACCCCGGGAGGTGGTCCTGTAAGAAGAGAAGAGGAGGCACTGCAGGGGTCTGCTCACCTCTTTCCAGCATACCTTCCCGAGCTGGGCAGAAGACGGGCTTATCCTCTCAGAAGAGCTGTCAGAAGGACCTTATTATATTTAATCCATAAACTATTACTGATCTCTGGGGTAAAGGACTGAAAGGAAAACATTTTACCCTCTTTTGCATTTTAGGAACCTGCATCAATAACACATCAGTGATGATGTTCAAAAAGGGAAGTTTTGAAATTGGAGCCACAGTTTACCCCGTTGCTATCAAGGTAGGAGCCCTCCGAGGGCCAGTGGTTATCGCCGCGGAGGGCGGGCGGCTCCAGCCTGCTCGCAGGTCTCCCCACGTGTTCCTCTCTGTTCATAAACCCAGCAGCTCAGAAGGCACTCGACCTGAGGGGGCTTCCTGTGGGGCAGGGGCGCCCGGGGCATCTGTGCGTTTGCTTGGAGGTGCGGGTGGGCGGGCACAGGACGTGTGTCCTTGTCACTGGAGAAGGAAACGGCGCCTCTGCTTTGGCTCACGCGGCCGCTCGGGGAAACAGAGCGGCCTTGGCAGCTGTCCTGTCTGCCCCACTTGCAGGAGCTGTTCAGACTCGCTTAGAAAGACGGGGCACACTTTGCCGGCTTCCCTCTTTCCTCCTTCCTCTCTCTCCCTTCGTATTCATCTGCTCTTATAGATAGATGCACATTATTATTGCTAAAAGAATGCTGTTACTCACATTACTATCTCTAAAAATACACAGCCTTTGTCACTACTTTTAAAGTATTTAGGTTGACAAATCAGGGCAAGGGTAAGCTTGAGTCAGAGTGGTGGTTAGAATTTCACGTGCCTCGGTTGTCTGCAGAGGCTTCTGTAGGAATGGTTCTTGTTTTCACTGGCGGCAGCTGGGGAGGCGGCATTCCCCTGGGAGAAGTGCAGGCTCCCAGGCCATGGCGCTTTCTCAGGGAGGCGACAGGCCAGGGCTGGCGGGGGACAAGCGGCTGCAGGGTAACTAGCTGGTTCCTGGACCAGGGCTGCCGGGGAGTTGTTGAGGATGCTGGTCTGGAGGAACAGGGGAGGCTCTGTCCACAGGGTCTGCCGTGGTGTGAGAGTGGGGAGCGATGGTGTGGCACGCATGTCGTCCCACAGTGTAGCATCCTGGGGCTCAGGGCCTCCCCCTGGGTGTCTATTAAAACCAGCTGCTGCACAGAAGCCCCCCTTCCTCACTCCAGTGTTGGGTGTGTGTTTCTGGTTGCTCTGTGTGCAGGCTTTCTCTGGTTGTGGTAAGCGGGGGCTCCTCTGCGTGCGGTGAGCAGGCTTCTCTCACTGCAGCGGCCTCTTACTGCGAGCGCAGGCTGTAGGCACAAGGGCGCAGTGGTGGAGGCTCCCGGGCTTAGTTGCCCTGTGGCACGTGGGATCCTCCCGCACCAGAGAAGTGGAGCCCGTGTCCCCTGCGTTGGCAGGTGATTCTTACCCATGGTGCCTGGAAGCTCTGGCGTTGGGTCTTCACATCAGCTGGTGGGGCTGTGAGCATGCCCTTTGCTGAGCCCCACACCCAGAGTTTCAGAACTTGCATTTCGACCCCATCCCGGGTGCTGCTGGTGTTGCTGCCCGGGAATCTCAGTAGGAAGCTGCTCTTGGCATTTTCAGAGCGTGGACCCTTGGACAGCTACAACCTCTCTGGAACATGGACATGGCCGTTTTCCTTCCGTCCAAGGCTGAGGAAAGCCCACATATGATTAAGAACTTCTGCCTCCCAAGTAGTTTTCTAGTTTTTGTGAAGCTGTCCTTGGTAACCAAACTTGCATAACCTCAGCGGTTTCCAAGCTCTCACTGCATTTCCACCAAAAGTAAGCTGTTGTCTGATCTGGAGGAATGTATTGCTGATCTGAGCGTTGGCCTTGTTTTTCTCTCCACGGTGCCTGCCCAGCGTGGAGCAGAGGCTCAGGCCTCAGCAGAGGGCTCTCACACGTGAGGTCAGGTTTCTCTCCGGCCCTGCTGCGTGAGCTGTGGCAGTGTTTGCTCCCGTCCCACACGAGCTGCGATCTGAGGTCCATTCTCCCTCGCTTACTGGTGGTGGTGTAGAGTGAGCCCAGTCCGCCTTCAGGGCTCCATCTGAAGTTTCTCGTTTCTGTAAGTAAGCCTGAGTGCCTTCAGTTCTGTAGTTGGGCTTGCAGTGAGGCACAGTTCTCATAACTTTTACTCTGAGAGTCATAGAATTCAGGCTTGAAAGTCTTGGAGGAAAAGCATGCAGTTCAAACCCAGCCCCCCCGAAGCGTAGGAGGCTGCGCTCGGGCATCTCAGCCGGTGTCCCTTCCCAATGACTTGGGAGGCTGGGGGGGGTGGCCGCCGAGTCTCGGGTCATCTGGTTTTCCACTCGGGTCCTGGGTGCTTGTGCTGCAGTCACTCCCCGTCCAGCGTCATGTCTGGGAAAGCCCCAGACTCCGTGGCGGCTCGGCCCTGACCCTTCTCAGGCCTTCTGGAGGACGTGACCCCGCTTGCTGCTGCTTGTGTCACCTCCCTGCCCCGCCGCGCTCGTGTTTGGGAGAAGGTGGGCCACAGCAGTGGCCGCGTCACCCACGACGTGTCCCTTGGCAGGGCCTCCACCAGAGGGGAGGGCAGGGGACAGCGTCCAACGGGCACTCCCCCGGGAAAGGTCTCTGTGCCCGCACGGCCTCTGCGGCTTCTCACGGTCCGCGAGCCCCAGGAAGGGTAGGACAGAAGCAGAGCTCCCTCAGAGGTGGGCTTTGAAGGCTGGCCGTCGTGTAAGGAGGTCTCTCTCTCTCTCTGGAGAGCTGCGTGTCGAAGTGCTTGTGAGTGTGTGACGTGCTGGGAGTGGGTTGCAGGAGTGAGTGTGGGGACTCCGGTGGTTGTTGGCTTGGGGCTGGGTCTGTGGAGCCGCGGTCCCATCCTCTGTGCGGGGTCGGCTTGAGGACAGAAAGAGTAGATGCCGGATGCCCGTGGGGGAGATGGGACGCGGCGGGGGAGGGCTCCTCCCTGCTCTGCCGAGGAGGCAGACGCCGCTGCAGGCCAGCAGTGCCCCGGGTGCACTTCCTGGGGAGTGTTCAGGTCGTGGGGCGGAGAGCCATGTCCTCATGCTGACCTTGCCCCCAGGTGCAGGGTGGTGTTCGGAAAGGTTGCTGTTCACACATGCAGACACACACACAGCTGATCCACACAAACACACATGCACACGTGTAGACCCGTGTTGACACTGTTGACGCACACACACTGTTGACACATTTTTGCACGCATGTGCGCACACACCTACCCCTGCCCTGTCGCCCTGCAGTACGACCCGCAGTTTGGGGACGCCTTCTGGAACAGCAGCAAGTACGGGATGGTGACCTACCTGCTCAGGATGATGACCAGCTGGGCCATCGTCTGCAGCGTGTGGTACCTGCCCCCGATGACCAGACAGGTGGGTGCCCAGCCCGCGCCTGGGGTCCCCCGCGCTCTGTGCCCCGTGCCCGCCTCGGGGGCTGGCACGCGTCCTCTCTTGCAGGCGGAGGAGGACGCGGTCCAGTTTGCCAACAGGGTGAAGTCCGCCATCGCCAGGCAGGGCGGCCTGGTGGACCTACTGTGGTGAGTCGGGGACCCGCCGAGTCTGGGGATGGGATTTCTGAGGCGGGTGCTGCCGGGTCGACTCCGTCCACGCAGACGCCCGCACCCTGGGTGTGGGGGGCGCACAGCCGTCCGGGGCGGGATGGGCGTGGGCCATTGCTGGGCACCCAGCCCTGCCGCGCTCTCGCCAGGGACGGCGGCCTGAAGCGGGAGAAGGTGAAAGCCACGTTCAAGGAGGAGCAGCAGAAGCTGTACAGCAAGATGATCGTCGGTACCCAGGAGGACCGCAGCCGGTCCTGAGCCCGCCGCCCGGCCGCCCCGGGCCCAGCCGCTGGTCCTGAGCCCGCCGCCGCCCGGCCCGGGCCCGGCCGCCCCAGCGTCCCTGCCTGCCGAGTCCGCCGGAGCAAGGCCACTGACGTCCCTCCCCACTGAGCCAGAGCGGCCTGAGTGCTGGGCAGAAACCCGCGTCCCCTCGGGGCCTGCGGCGCCGTCTGCCTGAGGCCCGTGTGCAGGGGACCTGGCCGGCCAGCACTGCCCCAGGAGGGCCCGGCCTCGGGGCCAGACTCCCAGGAGAGACTGTGACTGCAGACCCCGGGGAGTGCCGTTCTCCCCGAGAGGCCGGCATGGCTGTGGCTTCGTCCCCCCGCTCAGCCGCCGCGCCACGCGCATCTGCCCCCCAGTCTGGGGGGCGGGGACGCCTGCCTCCCCGGGTTGTTGTGAGGGAAGGGCGGGCAGCCCAGTGTGGTGGTGCGGGGCCGGGGGGCGGGCGGGCAGGCAAGGGAGAGCCAGAGCTGGCGGGGGCTTGGGCTCTGTTCCTGTGAGTCAATAAAGTTGTCTTTGATGGTGACTGAATCGTGGGGTTTCTCCCTTCACGCTCTCTCCCCCGGCTGTGACCCTGAGCAGCGGGTTTCTCACCAGCGTTACGATCCCCTGAGTTAACCTACACGGGGGCTTGGCTTCCAGAATGGGGGCTTGTGGCGTTGGGAAGAAGGTGAAGCCCCCTCTCAGATGTCCACACATCTCTGGGTGACTTGGAATCCCCAGCACTGTTGAGATGGCGTTTCCCCCCACGTGGGTGCCGCGGGGTTGAAAGTGTGTGACATTGGGGGGTAAGTAGGAGATGATCTGGAAGTACAGGTGGGGGGATCCATGCGGAGACCTGGGGGCCAGGCGGGAGCTGGGGCGGGCAGGCATATGGTGCCCTGCGGGCTTCGTGCTGTTGGTTTCCCTTGCCCGCCTGTGCTCACTGGAAGGCAGGTCCAAAGCCAGGCCCCTTCCCGGTGTCCACCTCCAGGCTTGACTGGATGCAGAGCTCTCAGGAGAGAACTGCCTCTCCCCCCAACTCGTCCGTCTGTCCGTGCATCCGTCCCCCACCCCCCCTGCACTGGCACAGCAGCCCTCATGCTTGGGTGTCTTGCAGCGGCTGTGGGACGTGTCACTGGCCGAGCCGTCCTCGAGTCGACGCGGGCAGGTGGTGGCCATGGAGCCCGGCTCGGGGACTCCTGACCGACAGCGGCACCTCCTGGGACCTCAGTCTGACTCCCAGCCTAGCCGCCCCCTTCCCCCTGAACAGTCTCCCATCTCCTCCCACACATCCCCCGCCCGCCAGCGAGGAATTCTCTTTCTACTCTATTCTCAAACCAAAACACTGTTAGGACAGTAAGAGCGCCCTCTTATGAACTGTTTTACAGAACGTGCAAGGATAAACTGATTGTTTAGACTTTTATAGGCAGTACTGTTTGGTGGTTTAAAAGCTCACTGGAATGGTCTTTGTAAAAATCAAGTTCCCTCTTGGAAAAGCTTCCTGCCGTTGAGTACGTTTGCTTCATGATTTTTGTGGGTACTTTCAATCACGTTGGTTTTCGTCTTCTCATGTTTTTTTTCAGCACATTAGTTTGTTTCTGATGACGCAGCAGAGTATTGTAAGAACCTGATCTGGAATAGCTGTTATGTAAAGAAATACTTGAGACTAGTGATTATTTTTACTTTTACCAACTGAGAAGGGATGGGAATTAATCCCTTTAAAAAGAAATCTCTAAAAGTTCTATTTAGTGCTTGTTACAAGCATACAGACTCATCATACTGCTCCATCCTTTTAAACTGGGGACCCTACCACCCCCCAGGTAGTCATTAGTTATTTGTAATTGATTTGGGGTAACTGAGTCAGCCGTGTGAGAAGTCAGACAAAATGTCTTGACACTTCGGAATGACAAAAGAACCACATAGAGCGACGTAATGTACAAAATGCACCCACTCCTGGGACCCCGGCAGCCAGGAGGCCCGTCTTGGAGTGAAACCGAGTGGTCCTATCGGTGGGATGAGCGCTGGCCAGCTCCTAATCCCCCCTGTGGACCTGCTGCCGGTTTGCCGTTTGGGCCTTATTTCTCTGTGTTCTGACCCAGAGCTAGGGACTTGGGCTGGATGACCTCTAAGGCCCTTCCCACGTCTAAAATGTAGTTTTTAAATCCGTGGTTTAGACTTCGGCTCTGAGCTCTGAAGTCATCTAGGTTCAGTCATAAGTGAGTTTGGATCCATTTGGTTCGTGCAGAACATCAGGCTAGCGAAACTCAACCCCTTCGGAGAGTGTCCCATGTGTCAAGGAGGGTCCCAAGGTTTCAGGTGGTCGTGGGGCTGGTTGGATTTGATTGTGGATCTCGGAAAGAGTTTTTTCACTAAAATGTGAGAGACTCGTTCCTCAGCTGTTTGGAGAAGGAACTTTGTGAAAAGGCAGGTAAAATCGCCATGGGGGGAAGCCTCATATAGAAGTCTTTCCAGGCCAGGGCTCAGTGAGCAGTTTGGGATGATGTCCAACTTGGGGACCTGATTCTTTACTGGGTCGGACCCCACTCTGGGTTGCTCCTGATGTGGGGGGGTGGGGCAGGGGACAGCTCCACAGAACCCTGAGTGCCCAGACCAGGCAGCAACGAGCCCTTGGGCATCACCCTGGCTCAGCCCTTCTCAGCAGCATCTCCCCAGGGCACCAGCCCTGCTGTCCTGCTGAAGCCTCTGGGTCCATACACCCCTGTTTCCTTCCTGAGTTGACCAAAACGTCAGGATCTGTGAGATGGCTTCTCCCCACAAGTCCTTGACAACCAGATCCACCTGGGGTGTGTCCCAGGCAGCCAGACCTGATTTCTCAGACTGCCCTCGTCCCGAGAGGCTGGACGCCCGGGCTGGGAGGGCGGCTGCCCGCATGCCGACTGTGAACGGGCTCAGAGACGACCATCCTGCCATCCATCTTGCCCTGCGCTCACCCCCTCTCCCCCTGAGTCAATACGTCTCTCTCCGATGGGAAAGTTAATAAATTTTGCTCTAGATTAAAAGTATTGATCATTTCATTTGTAAACGATAAATAAAAAGGGGGAACTTTTCATTGCACCAGGGGTAGCGTCTGGTCTGTGTTGCGGGTGGAATTGCGCCGGCCAGCCGGGGGGAGGGCTCCTTGTATGCATCCCGGCCGGCTGGCGCATCGATTTCCTATTAGTCTCCCAGCACCACCCAGTACCACATCATTCCAGTACCTGCTATTAATGGTCTTTTGATAAATAATCACTTGTAAGTCAATAAATTTTTATTAAACAGTGTGGCTCTCTGATTTATTAAAATCCGACCGTGTTTGTCTGGGAGAAAAGGGATGCTGAATTGAAGTGGAGGTTTTCATACATCTTCCTGACGGGCGAGCAGTCACGGCCACCCTCCAGAGAAAAACAATTGCATTTTAACAGAAACAAAACAGCCGAGTTTGGAACTTGGGTCTGGGGAAACTTTATCTCCATCAGCCTGAGGCTCACTCTGCAGGGAGAAGCTGCCAGCACCGGGGGGCTTTTGAGTCCAGAAGTTTGTGTCTGCTTCCAGGAGGGGCGAGGTGCCGGGGCTGGGCAGCACAGACCCTTATGCTGTGAATGGCCCGCGTGCACCCTGGAATAGGTGCTCTCATCAGCCAGACAGATCCACGAGATCACAGCCTTAGGATCCACGAAAAAGTTGGGTGACGTTTTAGCATCCTTCTTGGCCAGATAACGGAAGTCACAGCTTGTGGCAGTGACTGCCAAGGGATGGTTCGTATTTCACATGGAGATCTGGCTGTATGGATTATCTTAGAAAGTGGGCCAAACTGCTGCAGATTGGAATCTTTTATGACTGAGACTGTCATCAGCATACAGTTCGCTGGAGAGGGTTTAATTTGCGGTAGAGGGTTTGGCAAGTTTTCACTGAGACTCCCCAGACTTGGGGAGAGTCCCAACCACAGGGTAGAGAACCAGAACTCCCGGCCCAGAGGGATGCATGAGACCAGGAACTCCCTGCCCTGACCCACCTCCTCCGTTCACGTCCAGCGTGACCTGTGTCAGCAGGAAGGGGTTCTGAAGCGGGATGGCTAGTAAGTTCCTCTGAGGGCTTTAATGTTTTTTAAAACACGTTATCAAATCTTTAAATCACGTGTTAAGATGTCCTAAAAATGGAATGTTTTAAACCTGCTGCGAGATTTCTCTTGTCGCTTGAGTTCCGCTTCTGTCCTGGTCTTGGGGACGACAGCTGTGGCGTCGGGGCACTGAAGGTGGGCGGGACGAGGGCCTGCAGGGGACGAGCGTGCGGCCGTCCTGCTGGGCGAGCTGGTGGTGACACGGCTGTCCTGGACCACGGCCCGTCCTGCCTCCTCTGCAGGGGGTGCCCGAGGAGCCCTGGGGCCCATGCCGACCGCTCGGGTCCCCTCCTCCCAAGAGGGGTGTAGAGGTGACCCCGGGCAGGGGAGCCACAGGACAGCCTTCTAGGACATGCATCACAGGAAGGGTATTCTGCACTTCAGTGTGGACGTGTTAGTCCGACTCTTTGCAACTCCCACGGACGGTAGCCCACCAGGCTCTTCTCTCCATGGAATTCTCCAGGCAAGAATACTGGAGTGGGTTGCCATGCCCTCCTCCAGGGCATCTTCCCGACTCCGGGATCGAACCCGGGTGTCCCACATGGCAGGCAGATTCTTTACCGTCTGAGCCAGCAGGGAAGCCCATTCTGCACTTTACCCCGTGCACAACTCAAGTCCACTTCGGAGGTGAAACAGGAGACCTGGGCCTGGCTTCACCTGGGATTCACCTCCAGCCTTTGTTCATTCTCCCTCTCTTCCCTTCCCCCATCCTTGTTCATTCCACTCTGCGTTAGGGACGCCGGAGAAGATTCACCTTAGGGTTTCTCCGTGAATCGACCTGCAGGAGATTCTGAGTCAAGTACATTACCTTGGGAGAAGGTGAGTCCCGCGGTGTGGCTTCTGTTAACCACCGCTGGCGGTGGGGGCAGCGGGAGTGAGT